GTTAAATTGCAAGTCCCCAAAGGTCTTTCCACTAAGAAAACCAATGCTTACTTTACACTTGCTAGCAAAAAAAAAAAAAAAAAAATCAAATATAATAGTATCTTGTATACTGAAACAACTGCTTTGTTATAAAGAGAAGGCTTCAGAAACTAGAAAAAATGACACTGCTGTAAAAACCTGTAAGCCTTTTACTCTCAGTTCAAAGACTTAAGCATTCTTTTACAACAGACTGAAGTTTCATATCCATCTCAGCAAATCAATCCACTAATAGGCATCAGTCATCAACACCGAAGTTAAATCTGCCACATGAAACAGCTTTGATGTGATTGAAGACTCACACACAGTCATAAGCATGACAGAACAGCTTAGCTATTAAAATGTTTTATCCAGCAAAAAACCGTTCGTCCTAATTGACTGAAACACTCTTTGAATGCTATTATTGCCAGGCTACTTCACTAAGCAGTGCTTTGGTACATAGCCACTTGACTTGTATCTTGAGATCCAGCACAACCACATCAAATCTTATTAGAGTATTTTCTTACACATACTTTTGTCAAGAGACCAAAACAATAAAGCTGACTGTCATTTTTACTACCAGTTGCTTAGTTAATTCCATACTGAAACATACTGGGATTCATTGTAAAAGCTGCATGCAATCAGCCATTTCTATCAATCTTTCTTTTTAGTGCATTAACAGAATGAAACCTACTAACCACATCAGTGGACATGGGTTGGCAGGACTGGATGGAAGCTGTTCTTCTGCACTGAGCCCAGCCTCTCACCACAAGAGGTGCAGTAGCAGGGACTCCTTTAAACAGCAATGTGCAGCCTTGGCCCAGCTCCAACACTGACCATATGTCACAAGCTGACAGATAAGAAGCCTGAGACAGCCATCTGAAAACAACTGTATCCAGCCCCAGCCACCAGACAGTAAGGGTTTCAAGGTCTACCTCATCGCTCATTTCAAAGACAATTTTAAGCACACCAGAAGTAAATATACCTGAAAAAAAAACCACAACCCACCCCTCCCAACCAAAGCAAACCAAACTAAACTAAACCAAACCAAACTAAACCACAACAAAATAAAAAAACCAAACCAAACAAGCACAGAGTCATTACCAGAAAGTCTATATGATGCTATACCCTAATTCAGGAAGTGTCCATCAAATATTGCAACTGATTGCCACAAACAGTCAGAAAAGTACTAACATTTTGTGTCTATAACATTTTCTTCTCTCTATTATATTCACTGTGTATTAACAACTTTCAGGAGAAAGGAATCAAATATACCAAGCAACTGCCACCAGGACTAAATTTTACTGATTCAAACAAAATACCATTGATTTAGTATCTGAAATGAAGGGTGATTTGACATTTGTCCTGTATCTATTAATGCATCACAGAGTTCATCCGTTTATGCCACTACTTTGGTTACCAGAACGTATGTCATATCAATTCCTTATCTGTAGGCAACATATTATCTATCAGCTCTTATTCCAAAGTTACTAAATAATCACCACAAAGGAATAGCTAAAATTTACCCCTATGCAATTTCCACAGCTCCATACATTTCATTTCCATATTCCAAATTAATAAAATCCATGTGAACTTACCTACAGTTCGGAGGAGGGTCTAATGTAATTTCTGCAAGTTCTTTCTGAATTCTTAAGAGAAAAAAAAGGTATTATCAGGACTTTTTAAAAAATCTGTTTCTTTCAACTTTATGAACATTTCTACATCAATCAATAGTAACAAAATATAATTGTTAGAATTTCTGACTGAAAGCTGATCTATGTTTCATGAAACTGCAAGAATATGTAGAAGTAAAAAACCAATTATTTTCTGAAAAATTAACCTCCAATATGGAACAAATGCCATGAGCAGCCACCTAGAAAATCACACTTTTTCCATAGGTCAAGATTCTCAGCTCCTTTGCTCACTTACACACTTAATTACTAAATATCTCATATACCCTCCTTTTTTCTATTTCCGCTCAGACTATATGTCTTATAGCTCTTGCCCTCCAGAATATTTAGCTTCTCAATGCATATTGTACTGGCAGGACAAAACCCCCTGACTCGAAGAAAAACTGCCCAGAATAAGCCCACCCAGGACTTCACAGCCTCCTACATATTGAGGGGTTGGTTAGGGATCCCCCAAAGAGAAGTGCTCCAGCTCCCTGGTCAGCCTGGGGACCTGTGGCCGGACTTTCTCTGATACCTGCCTTCTTTTTACTGATGGGACAAAACTGGGTAAATGCTATCCCAGATAGAGTCTAATGAGAGCTGAGTAAAGGCAGATAAATCTCTTTCATCTGTCTATGGACTATGCTTTTTTTCATACCTCCTGGGAGGCAGCCCAGCCTTTGTCACTGCCTCACACTGAGCCTGCTGTCAGCCAAGGCCCCCGCGTCCTTCTGAGCAGAGGTAATCCCCAGCATATATCTGAGCAAGGGGTAAGTCCTCCTCACGTACACGGTGTTCATTTGTCCTTGTTGAATTTCATGAGTTCTCTGTCAACCCTCTCCTGCAGCCTGGCCAGATCCCTCCGAGCCGCAGCCTCGTCCCTGTGTGTACAAACTGCTTGTCACCTGAAAACTTCTCAGTGCGCTCTGCCATATCCTCCAGGTCACCCATAAAGACATTACAGGCATCCTGCCAGAGTTCTTCCTCCAGGGAGAGCAACTTCGTTGTTAAGGATTTCTGGACATTCCCAGGCTGATGTTTCCCAGCCAAGTCCTTGAATACCTGATCTCTGCCACAGCTGGCAATGGGGGCTCTTTTCCTTTACACCAGCATCTGCATGAGTGCCAGTATCTTCACCTCTGAAGAAATGTGAGCTTGCAGAATAGGATACAGAGTTCCCAAAGACACTTGTAGGGATTTACAGCTCCCAAAAACTTCCAGAGTATTATCCCATAAGCAGGACTGTGAATGCCACCTTCCCTATAAACTATGTCCAAGGCTTTTTTTTATAGGCTACTTCAACACAAAAACATGAACATTTAGGAAGGAAAAGAAAATTAAACATAGCCTCAGTATTTTATTCTTGCCTTTTCCTTCACAAGATTTCATGCACAGAACAGATTGCTATTCTTATTACTCCCTACACTAGAAAAGAATAATACCACTCAAATTCCCAACTGGTGCTCAAGCCACAAGCCAAAGGTTCAGGTCTGACCTATACACATCTTGCTAAAAATGACTGCTAGTCATTTTGCATATAAATACAGGTAAAGAAAATGGCTTATCAAAATAAGCATTCAGGTATACTGGCATATATAATATAAAAATGAGCTGTTTAATTCTTTATATAATGTTATAATCCAAACACAATCTCATATGTTAAGGAGTCTCACAGCCACTATCAAAATTCCCCTTATGCCACTATGAATTGGTTTTATGGCTATAAATGAACCAACAGCAGTAGAAAAACTGCCCTGAACCAGAAACTCAAGCCTTTATCATTCACATTCTGAAGTAATTAGGACATACGTGGGCAAGATTTGTAGGCAGAGGCAATAATCATTTATTAAGACCTGATGAGATCATTGTAAAGACAAAAATACTCTTACAGATGCTTAGATTTTCTTCTAACTTCTATGCATATAAATACAAGCAAGGCAAATGGCTTATCAAAATAAGCGTTCAGGTATATTGGCATATATAATATAAAATGCCCCTGAACGTACCAACTTGCATGCACCCAACTTGGTGCCATCTGAAAACTTTAGAGTGCATTCTGCCATATCCCCCAGGTCACCCATAAAGACATTACAGGCATCCTGACAGAGTTTTAACTCCAGGGAGAGCAACTTTGTTGTTAAGGATTTCTGGACACTCCCAGGCTGATGCTTTCAAGTCAAGTCCTTGAATACCTGATCTCTGCCACAGCTGGGTGTATATACCCTACATACACACAAACACACAAAGTTATTTCTGTAGAGAGGGAGAAATTTGATCTTTACTTCCTTTTTCTGCTTATTGAGATGTTTGTACTGCCAGCATGCAAAATTCCTCCAATAAATATCATAACTTTCTTATAAAAATAAGAATTTTTTTTAAGTCTGCTTAATCCAGCTCAAAATCATTGTAGAACACTGAAAGTCATCCCATTTTTTAATTAGTGAAGTTTAAGCACAACAAAAATGTTGTTTTAGAACAGTTAGCCCATTTAAACAATCCTAACAAATCACAACTTTTAGAAGGGAGGTCTTGTAACTTCTTCTGTATATTACAAAATTCTGCCATAATTTTGAAATTTATACTATCACAAATTCAAACTGCAGAAAACCTAGGTTGCACAGAAACTTCAGTTTTGTGGTTTATAAGCTGTTTTGCTTTTTCAGTCTTTTTTGAAGTTACAGAATGATGGCATTGCACTTTATTATAGAGTCAGAGATCATTCCTTTGTTTTACATATAGTAGTAAAAACAGTTAATATTTCTTGGCATTACAGTGAGTATGAGGCACATCAAGAATGGATTGACAACTTAACAACTTCAGTCCTAGATCAAAAACTTTACATTCTTCCTTCTAAATCCTAACCCACGTTCCTCACATTCTGAAAACAAGACGGTCTCTCATTTTCTCCATCTGTTCTAGTTCAACCCAAAACTTCTAATGCCAAGAGCACTAAAATGGCCCTTTATCAAGCTATTGTAAGTGAGCAGACACGGACAAACCAGCTTCCTACTTCAAAACGTAAAAATTGATCAGATGGCACTGTCTGTGTTCAAACGACATCATTGCTCTTGCAAACATCTAAGACAAAGAGATGTTTAATTCATGATTATTTTTATACAAACAAGATAATCATGTTAAGACAATACTGTCCATCAGTTGCTCCTCAGCAAGCTGTCCATGTTTATTCCCCTACGCTATGGTGTCCCAAACTAAAATTAATTTATACACCTTGCACCTCTTTTGTTGCAACCTTAATTTACCTTGCATTCATGCTGAGAGCTCATTCATAAACAGTTTCTGTAGAACAGCTGACACGTAGCTTGTTCACATGTCACAGCATTCAAAGCTACAATTAAATCATCGGACAGCGTCCCAGAGAGCCTTGAACTGATGGAGACCTCCAGTGTGCAAGTGGCCCTTTGTCTGCACGTGCTCTGGCACTCGCCTCATATCCCCACTGAGCTGCCCTCAGAATCTGCCACAGCAGAGGACGTGCCTCATTTCCTTCGCTGACCACAGAGGATTCACCGCGAGAATATGCGGCCTCTGGCAAAACATTATTTTCAGGGTCCTTTCTGGCATCTGTTTCTTTGGATTTTCTGCCTCAACAGTTATGTCAAAGAGGAAAAAACCCTCTAAATTAAAATCACTATATATACCCAGTTTATATTTAGACTAATGACATTATGGTTTACTACATATTGGACAATGGGGGTGATGGCAGGGGGTGAGGCCCTTGCTAGTAATCAAAGCCCTGGGCTGCACACATAAGACATTTAATTTGCAATGTCAGATCTGATATTTTGGTCTTAGAGAAGTCATTTGACTCTTCTTCCTCAAATATATATACACATATATAAAAAAAAATTCCCTCCATTTTACTAATAGAAAAGAACAAACACAGTTGCCTTCCAGTAATGGTGCAAAGGTTAATCTACTCATAAATTCAGAAGCATGAAAGTATACTGTGGATTTCAAATATTATTAATTCTCACAGACAACATATTTACTACTGTACCAAGCCAAAAGGGACTGAGTGTTGTTTCCTTCATGAAACAGTTCTCTAAAGCTAACAGAGATGAGAACATGTTAGAGAAATTCCTAACATTATTAATAGGAAAAAAAATAAAATAAAGGACTACATGACAATGATTTTTACCACATCCACTTTTCTAAACTACACGTCTCTCTACCCATAAAAGCTAGATTAATCAATACCTTATACCAAAGAATATACTACTTAAAAATACTTAAAAATGCAGTCACTGGCATGTATTTCAATACTAAATAAATTGTGACTGTGGAGGAAATAGATCTAAAGATGGTTAGGTTCCTACTGGAAGAAAAGAAATATTCTCGCCTACTTACTAAAGGACAGATAAATGACAAAGATATTTCTTGTAAGAAAAAGCACTCCATATTTTGCTGTCATATTCAACATGCTAAATATAATTTCCAGATTCTGTGATAAACCACTCATGTGAAAAAAAAGGTGGGGGGGGGGCAGGGAAAAATGCTCAGTTTTGTTGAATTTCAAACCAATTCAACTTATCACTTATTTGCTCCTCCTTAAGGCTGCAACTTCTTTGAATAATGAAAAGATTACAACTAAAGTTGTACAGTTCACAATTCATTGGAGGCACAGATATTTATTAAAAAATGTCAGGACTGGACATAAAGGTTTAAAGATTTTCAACCAGCAATTTCAGGAGCCAAGCAAAACAATACATTTATTTGTTGAGCTACTATGTCAGCCAAGAATGGTTACACTTCTCTCAATCCAAAGGTCATGCTAAGATTTGCTACTTAAGAGGTAACAAGATGCCTGCTGTTTTCAAGGACAGCAATTCAATTCCATGTCTGAACTGTAATTGTGATATGCAGCGAGTTTCTCAATCTTGACATGTTGGGTAAGAAAGGTTGCTATTTAAGGTGATGCCCTCTGGGTGAGGAAAATTGAAGGACCGGTACACTGCACGACATATGCTGTAAGCTACTACACCTGTACAGCAGCTAGTCCTGAAGAATTAACAGAGAAGGACAGCATGTGATGGCATTCTGCCTTCTTGATGCTATCCACAGAAATGCTACCAGAAGAAACTCTGTTTCTCAATACCAAAAATCTTACTCAAATAGAAATTTAAGTGGTTTCATAGAGCCTCTGTAATCAGATCACTTCGGAAAGCAGTTAAGCTGCACGAACAGTATATTCATATATAACACACAGGAGCAGTTTACTATTACACAAGCAAAAATCAGCACACTGCTAAATCTTGATTTATATAAAACCTCATGCTACTGAAAATTCTTTAAAACTAACTGACTACATAAACATACAAATGAAAAGCAAAACAGGGGTTTTCCAAATAGAGATGCACAAACCTTCCTTCCTATATGGTAGGTATCATAACGCAATCCCAAAAATATTGCAGCTACAATTCCATATGCATGAAAAAGCTTTCCAAGTGAAAAAAAACTGATTTCCAAACTCAGGTTAGAGTCAAGTCTGTACTTGCTGGTGTTTGATGCTTTTAACAGAAATTAAGGAATCTTGACCAAAGCCACAACTGTGCTACGCTCTGTTCGAGCGTTCTACTGGTTTTAGCAGAGTTGACTCCTCTCCCTATAATAAAGGTACCAGAGTAAAGCCTTATTAATCCCGTACTATTTCTCATTCCTAATGAACTAAAATAACAATATTACTGTGAAGATGTTTTATAGAGACCATTTCTAGAATACTTACCAGATATTGAGGACTTCAAGACATTTTTCCTGCCTTTATGCTACTCTTCTCCTTTCTAGCCTCTGCTTAAATTTCTGATTTAGCTTTCTTGAGACACTACTGATTGATCTTGAGACACTACTGATGAAAGCACAGACACAAAACCTGTAACATGAAAACCTGGCCAGATTGGAGAAGGTGCAATCCCAATTCTAAAACAATGACAAACTACTGAATATTCAAAAACAAAAAAAAAGGAAAACAAATATGATGACACTAATAAAAACTCCCATTACTATAAAAACTGTTTCTGTCATCATTCCAGAAATTGTTACGACAACCAGCATTCCTAAAATATATTTCTCTTCAAAAATACTGTATAGATATCTACAGAACTATTTTAAGTCATGTCAGCTTTTAAAATGTATAATCAGATGTATATTTTAAAATGCATAATCAATATTACTACACATGTGAAACTAGCTTTAGAGTCTAACTGGCAAATGTACTGATGTCAGCAACTGATGGCATAATTAGTTTCAGCAGAACCATAAGCAGATATGATTAAACTTTAAAAGGTTTAAGTAATTTTATCGCTGTAAAATGCTTGTTGATAAAAGCTCTAAGCTTTGAAGATACAAAAAAAGCTAAGATTAATAGCCCAATTTCTGACATATCATTATTAATTTTTTAATAGGATAGTGTCCACAGGCCCTTGTCAGAATTGTAGCATCATTACACAGGCATTATACAAAGTTCAGAATACACAGATTGCTTTCTAAAGATGCTGGAAACTGTTTTTATGACCTTAAAAGTCATGACTAATCCAATATTCCTAATATTTAAAAAATAATAATGGCAGGAAGCAGACAAAGGAGAAGACCAGAAACCACAACGGCTGTGAGGATTAACTACATGAATAACATCATGGTTTGTAGTGAAAGATGGGTGGGGTTTCTTTCCCTTCTTGTCATAAAAGGAAACACAGGCAAGTTTTGCAGGCCATTCTGTAAGTGATAAAACCAGGTAATCTCCTAATAGTGTCACAGTAGGAATGGGTGTCCAGAAAGTATTTCTCCAGGGAATTAAAAAATGAAGAAAAACTAGTTGTAAAAAAGGTATCTCTAGCAGAAGAAAAGCATGACAGTACCTCAGTGGAAAGCCAAAAGATACTTTAGTTCAGAAAATAATTTAATTGGGGGACAGTTAAATTTAAAAGGGACAAATTAACAGAAAACAAAGGCTTGAATCCTGATATGATGTATGCACACATTTATATACTATTATTTACAGACTCCTACTACATGCATCTGTTATAAATTACGGCAGCAGGGGCTTCATGCTTCTCCTTTACTACAGCACCACAGTGGTACAAAACTCCCGTGTTTTCTCTTGTAGTTTACACAGCCTTGGACTAGCAGAGAAACGAGATCTGGGAATTCTGCATCAGGACAATCTGCAGAATTGGTCTCTTGTCAGATTATTTTATGAGTGCTTTTTAACTTCAATCACTGTAATCCCACTTGCCTAGGCTAACAACCCTACATGTACTAGCAAAGCAACACTAAGCTGTAAATTCCTTCTGTCTGGTCTGAGCAAGACAATCGTTATCTGGAGATGGACATGATAGCACAGAATAATTTAAATAGCTATTCTACAAACCAACCTTTCATCTCAATCAGAAAGAGGAGGGAAAATAAATGGGTATTAAGACAGATCACAGTATAAAGTAATGAAACCAACATACATTTGTTGTTCACTCGAGTATTTCTGACCTGAATAGGGAAAATAAAAGGCAGTACTTCATGGCAATAGGTATTACGGTAGTCCTAACATGCCGAATTACTGAACTGTCTGAAATGTTTATGGCTAATTAACTGTAAGTTACACTGACAAGTTGCAACATCAGTCATACATACATATACAGAGATATATTTTATAAGGCTACAAAACTGTCTGAGTTTTATTAGCAATAAAAAAATGTCAGCTTTTATCATGCAAGCAACTATTAAAACCATGTGAAAGAGGCAAACTGACAAAGAAAGGAAAAAGTATACAGGTCTTATTGTTGTGATCAGTCTCAAAGGGCTATTACACTGATACAGTAGTGTTATAAGAAAACAGTCAGAAAATGAATATACTGAGTCAATACATGGATCTGATGGCCAGTTGAAAGAAGAGAAAGGAAAAAAACAACCAGGAAGAACACTGTACCTTTTAGCGCTAGTTGACAATTTAGCAGCTGTTTTGCTTGATATTTTCCCCTCTTTTTTCTTGGGTTGAACTTGCTCCCTTTCTTGTTCCTGCTGAACACCTTCACGCTGATCTCCATCAGAGCTGCCTCCACTAGTGCTTGGACTATCATCCACTCTCTGCCCCTCTGTAGACATGGCAGATGCTGCACTGAACAAAGACAAGAAACTGAAGTTAGCTTTTTGAGAAGAAACTGCCTAATTGTATTTCTTACATGCTTAAGGAAAGAACACATGGTATGTATGTCTTTGTCTTAATAAAATGATGCTTGTTTCAGTAGTTCAGTAATCCTCATATGAAGAGTTTTGCCACAAGCATCTTAACAGTAATTCACGAGCTGGCAATTTTAAACCCTGTATCACTGCCACCTCCCCAAAAATCCCCAACCAACCCACAAACAAAAAATATAAAATAAACACAGAAACAAATCCCCCCACCAAACTCCTCATATATACATACATATACATATGAGAACCAAAAGTAATTGAAGTTAAGCGAGAAACATAATCCTGCAAGTGTAGAATTATTCCCTGTGAATTACGTTTTTCAACCACTCAGCAATACCATGAGTTAGCTGTCCCATCATATGCCACCAGGTCAAATCTACCACAATTAGTTAAAAAACGAGAGTTATTATTATCTTAGGACTCTCTGTTATCCCATATGAAATAAATCTGTGGGCTCATTCCATGTCTACAATGTGGGTTTCCACATTACAAAATCCACGTCTTGGCATGCTTGATGGAAACACAGAACTAAAAAGCTCTAACACAGGACTGTTTGTATTTATTAAAACAGTGAGTATGTTGGTAGAGGATATAAGGAAGTTTTTTCCTGACATTTCGTTCAGGCAACATGAGGCAACAAACTCGTCACAGAACATGAGCAGCAAGAAATCTCAGCATATTTCAGAAGTCAAGTTAATGCTTTATTCGCACACTTCTGATACTAGTTAGCTATTTTAATTTCTTCCTTCATTTTAAATAGCATAACAATATGCCGACAGATGAGGAATTACAAGCCCACTGTTACAGCTGTCATGATTTCTCAAACTCTCTAACTGTTCTAATGAAGGGCAGATGTCCACAAAAAACTCTTACTGAATTAGCATATGTGGTGGCACTGACTGATTAAAAAACCAAAACCAAACAAAAAACCCAAACCAACAAAACCAAAACCAAATCAAAACCAAACTGAAACTCAGGTCTTTCCTTTAACTCCAGATCTGTACCTTATATGCCTGTGTTACATATCCTTCTCTAGAGATTTTTGATGAAATGCACACAGGCCCAAAAGTTACTTGCTTACATCCACACAATCCCCATATATCTGGGTGGTTTTCTGATCAAATCTGTCTGAATCAAGAATTTGCTCTTTCCTACACAAAGAGTTTCAAGTTGCTCTGAACTTCGACTTGCTTTCCCTCTTACCTATGTAGAGACATCACAATTAAGAACAAAACTATTCACCTTGACTATTATATGTTTTAAGACTCACTCAAGGGAGAATAATGAGATTTCAGGCTCAGATTCAACCATGCTTGTTCTGTGGATTAAACAAAGTTCATCTCCCTGTACATATTTATGGAAAGAGACAGCAAAGGAAAAGTAAATTAATATCAATGCCAACAGGGTTATGTTGAAAAGGATGCTTTTTAAAAAGGCATAAGTGTTCTTGTTACAGAACAGAAATAAATTTACTCCTGTACTGAAAAACCGTTACCAATATCTAACACTACAGAGTAGAGGAAATAATCTCTTCAGGTATTATTGATACATCCAACTAACTTCAGGAGGAATTAGGTCTTTTTCGTCTATTTTGTGAAGCTATTTTGTTTATTTTGTGAAAAAGAATTCTGGAAGTATGGCACCCCTACAAAATGTTTAGACATTAAAAGAAACAGCAAGCAATACCAAGTGATAGATATGTGACTAAAGTTTCCCTTGATCAGCTTCAGCTGTATTTTTTGTTTTATAACAGAAAAGAATATTTTCATATCTAAAAATATATAAATACACAACACCTAGACTGCTCATTAAGGTAACTGAAATAATGCAGGGTTTCTGCTCTAAAATTTAAATACAAAAATTGTCCACTCCTAGAGAACAATTTCTCCTATAGTACAGCTACAACAATATATTTAACATAGTTTGTAAATTTTCACAGGCTGATGTTCAGATATTTAAATACTGGTTGTCAGATTTCAAGGTAAAAGCAGCAGAACACTTAATGATAATAAACAACAAAAGTAGCACATTCTGACAAGTCAAAATATGTAACTGTAATGCAATTTTGGCAGTAAGTAACCATTTTCCTTGCTTCTACATAAAGTCAAAATACAACCTCATCTCTTTTTATAACACTTATGTTGGCCTTTATTTGCCCTAGATTTTACTTCTGAACTTTGCTTAATACATCTAATTTTGAAGTGAAAAATTCTCTCTTCACAATGTACATAGGCTTTAACACTGCAGGCCAGAAAGTTAAAAGCATATTTAATAATGCTTATATGCATAGGACATCTGCTATGAATAATCTTGACTATAAATATTACTATTATCCAAAAAACAACTGTATTCACTTCATAAGTTCAGGTTACTATCCAGCAGACAAACACTGTAACAGTAGCCCAGAGCATATAATTACTGTAACATGTAATGCCAGCATTTACAAGAGGAAAATGCTTAAATCTGTCATTTGATGTCTGGCTAGTTTGGGGTGGGGAAGATTGGCTTTTGGGTGGTTTTTTCTCCTTCTGTCCCTGTTCCCCCTTTCTACTCCCTCTCCTCACAATATCTGCAATTTTAGGAAGTTTTGTTAAAGGGATGCTCGATATTGCGGTAAAAATGTGTTTTAAGGGGCCTGAAATTAGACATTTCAAATGGGGTCACACAAACACATGAACAAGTAAGGGAATGGGGGAAAAAATCATCTGAGAGGATGACACTGTGAAGAAAACATTTTGCAGCCACTAACACAGACAGAAATCCAAGACACTCCTTGAATCTGAAGAGCGGTAAGTGTGTTTGCAACTGTCTCACAGAGCCAGAGGGAAGACACACGATGTCCAGGTTCCCGGCTGCCAGGCTATTCTACATTCAGACATGGGTTGCTAACCTCCCTGCTGTTGTGCAGAGAAAAATGAGCAGAGGGGACAGAGGAAGGAACGAAGGGGGACTTAAAAGTCTCTCCCTTAACGTGAGATGAATCAGCACAGATTACAAGTGTAACTACAACTATCAATTCGAAGCGAAGAGTGTCCAAAATATTTTGCTTTTGTCAAATATATCCACTGGCACCTTCCCTTTCCTCCTCAAACTAAAAGCAAAACCAAAACAACAAGAACAAAAACAAACAAACCAGCAACAGAAACAAACAAACCAACAACAACAACAAAAGAAGACAAAAATACCCCGAACCACCAGTCATTATCACACATCACCAAAATAAAAATAAAAATTAAAAAAAAAAAAATATATAAAAAAAATCCACCACTCGGGGACAGCAAGATTCTGGCAATGTGCAGATGGGTCCCAAGGGCGGCAGATGATGTCTTTCTATAAGCGCTCGTAATTTTCTATAAGCCAAGATAAACTGAGTATTTCTGCAGGGTCCACCACGAACAGCAGTGGCAGCAGCCGCCTTACTTCACCTTCATTAAAAATCATAAAGGGCAGAAAGACCCCGGTCTGAGAGGGGCTCCCGGCAGGATGGGACGGGACAGGAGGACAGCCCCGGGCTCGCACGCTCCCACGCGTGGGCACACGCGCGACTCTCCCGTCGGGAAGCCCCCGCCGTACGGGAGCGGGTGGGGGCCACGAGCATCCCCAGAACCGCACACCCCCCGCACTCCCACGGCCGGCCGGGCGGCGGCCGGGCCAGGGTGAGAAGTAGGAGCCAACCGAGGAGAGGAGGAGGAGGAGGAGGAGGAGGAGACTGCGAGAGGAAGACGTCGGGGGCACATGCGGGAAGGGAGAGGGTTGGGCTGCGGGGCTCCTCGGGGCGCGGGGGTGGGGGCGGGGGGAGTGCCTTTCCCGAGGGGTTCCAGCACGGGGTGCCCACCGTTGCGGGGGGGGTGTGGGGATAGCGCATCCCAGGAAGCTCGTGGTGGGGGGCGGGGGTACCCCGGCGCCCGAGAGAGCCAGGGGCGCACAGAGTGCCGCGGGGACCATGCGGAGCAGGGACAGAGGGGCGGTGGGGAGAGGGGGTGGTCGCTGCTCCCGCCCGCAGCAGGGCGAGCAGGACAAATGGACATGGAAGAGTTGCTGAAAGGGTGTGGGGGTGCTGAGGAGCAATGGAGGCTGGATGGAGCCTGGGGTAGCGGGGAGCGGCGGCAGAGATGCCGAGGTAGCCGGGGGCGGCGGGGGGGCGGCCGGGACGGTTGCTATGAAAGGGCACGGCCGAGGATGACAAGGGGGGAAAGGGGGTACCAGGCAGCACCAGGGGCATGCGGAGAGGGGAGGGAAGAGGAAGGATAAATGTAGAGACCGAGGGTCGCAGATAAATGTGGGGGAGAGGGTGCTGCCGTGGGGGAGGGATGGCGAGCGACGGGGGGGTAGGAGCCCGGCGGGGGGAGGGGAGGCAGACGGGGAGCTCAGCCGGGGCAGAGGTAGGTGTACCCCGGCGGAGACGGGGGGAAAGCCGCTGCTACCTGCAGACGAGCGCAGGTCTCTCTCTCGCTGGTGCCGGGCACAGGCTGCGGGACAATCCGTCGCGGTCGCCCCGACTCCGGCCGGGCGCGGGGCTGGAAAGGGGCTGCAGCCACTCACTGAGTCATGAGCCCGCTCCCCCGCGCTCCTGGCTCTCGGCTTCCTCTCCCCTTTCCCGTCTCTCCCGAGCAGCAGCGACGGCCGCTGCTGCTGCTGCTGCTGCTTCTCCCACCGCCGCCGCTCCTGCCCCCGCTGCCCGGAGAGAAGTGAAGCCGCTGCCGCGCGCGCGCGCGCACCCCCGCCGCCGCCTCCGCGCGCGCGCGCGCGCCCCCACCCGTCCGTCCCGCGCCGCGCGCGCGCGCGC